CCCTTGGCCACCCAGCCAGTCCATCAGTCCCAGGGCGCAGGCATAGGCCACCATCACGCCCTACACCAGCTGCCGCCACATGGCCCATGAGCCCTGGACATCCTCCAGATCTTTGGACACCCAGTGGTTGTCCAGATCACTGTATAGACCACCTTCCCGTGTAGTGGTCCCCTTCCTCCTTGAAGGGATACTTCTCCTTCAGGCCCCAGAGGAGCCACCTCCAGAGGCTGTGTGTGGCGGCCGCCCCTCTGGATCTCCCTGTCCATGTGATGGTCCCTCCTGAGGGACCCCAGCTGCCGCACTTCTCAGCCCTCCACAGCCAGTGTCCCTCTGGGCAAAACACAGCAACGCAGCAAAGAGCAACGGCTGAAAGCAGCCATCAGCAATCTGCACCAAGCAACAGCCACGCCGCTATAAATTCAGTCATTCAGGCTCCAATCAAATCTGTCATTACCTTGACTCCCTCCTCAAGCCTGTTGTGGATGAATGTTTAGATAAAAGTGTGACTTAACAGAGTTGGATGGCAAGGCTGACTCTATTACTTACTACAGGGAGGAAATGTACAGAGGGAAAATGGGGTTAGAATTGATTTAGAATTATTTACACAGGGACTGGAAATGCAAAAAAAGTAAGGGAGACCCTCCCATTGAGCCCCTTGCTTTCTAAACTCCTTCTCAGAGAGGAGTCTAGGCACAGCTGGATCTACTCCTAGTTCTAGACGTGGTCAATGGTTTATGGCTAATGGATTATATGTGTTCATAGCTAAAGGACTGTATGTGCACACTCAATTCTCTATCTCACTTAGCTAAGATTTCAAAGTTTCATCATGCTTCTTCCCAATTCGCTTACCTTCTGTCTGGGCATCCAGTGCTAGTTCGTTCAGAAGTTCAAACCCTAGGTTTCCCGAAACAGACTCTCAGGCATCAGATTTTATGAAAATAAATCATTTAATAGAGTGGTATAGCATCAGGGTCAGCTCGAGCTGGGTGCCTCCAGAGAGGGGGCCAACCCAAACAAAGAAATCTCTGGGCAATTATCCACTTACAGACCATTCACCCACCCCTCACACAATGTAATATTTGGGTCTGGGGTCTCCTTGTTCCTCATTGGATTCTTTCACTGTATTCAGACAGGCCATTACCTTGTGTAATTGCAGCTGCTGTTGGTGGCTGTAGCCTTGAAGCCTCCATATCTTCTGATTTACGCTGGCTCTGTTTTGTCTAAGTAGGTACATGTTCAGTATATCTAAGTGGGAGTTTACAGCTTGCAGCCTAAGGCTTCAGTAAATCTAGCTACTCATGCTAAGTAAGTAAAGCTAAGCAAACAGCACACTAAATCACGCAGCATTATAACTCTAAGTGATTAATTCTATTTAAAACTTACTTATTTAAGCTAAACAACTAGAGACATCCCTGATAAAAGGGAGAGTTGCCATCCAGAGAGATCCAAATTTGGCTCATCCAGAGATCTGTTGTTGGTAAAAGATCTCGTTGCTTTGAGGAGCACCCTTGAGAGTTGTCCCTGCATAAAGGGGGAGATCATTGCCATGCAGCCAAGCTGCCTAGCAGGGAGACCTCCAAGAATGCTCACTTAGGTTGTCATATTTAGGGGATAAAGTTGTTGGCTTGTAGTCAAATTGCAAACAATGTGAGAGGTGCACATGAGACTCCTTGTACCCACAACTTATTGGTGTTCACTGTGTCGGTCTGCTCCTTCGTGGATTTTCTAGAGGACTTCTTGGCCTGTCTACAGCTCAGGCCTTTACCTCCTGTAAGGAGCCTGTACCAAACTGCTGCTGTTCGGTTAAGGGAGAGGTCGAGTACACCTGTCAAAGCCCCATGTAGGGCACCAAAAAGGACAGTGGTGGGTTGACCTCAGACACCAGCAAAGCACCCACACAGCTGCTTGCTTAATCCCAACCCCTGCAGTGGGGCTGGGGAGAATATAGGAAGAGCAAAAGCATGAGAACTTCTGAGTCAAGATATAGATAGTTTAAAAAGTAAAGGAATGAGGGGAAAAAACTCAAGCAATTGAAAAGCAGTTTAAATTGCCAGCTCCCACTCACCAGCTCCCACGAGCAGATGGATGCCCAGTCTCTGAGCAATGACCACCTTGTAAGACAAAATCCCCAAAGCCAAATCCCTGCCTCTTCTTCCTCTACCTTAGCTTTTGTAGCTAAGCATGATGTTATATGGCATGGAATATATCTTTGGCCAATCTGGGCCAACTGTCCCAGCTCTGTCCCCTCCCAGCTTCTTGCCTGCCCTCGCCCTGTTGCTGGAGGGGGAGATTGGGAAGAAGAAAACCTTGAGGCTGTGCAAGCAGATAACCAAACCACCTGTGTGTTATCTACACTATTTTAGCTACAAATCCAAAGCACAGCACCACAGGATCTGCTGTGAAGAAAGTTAACTCCATCCCAGCCAGATCCAGTACAGACAAATATGTTTACACACTTATAAATGCATACAATACATAGATATATGCACATATATATCTGTACACAAATATATATTTATACACAAAATGTGAGTGTGGTAAACAGCGAGTGCTGGAGGCAGAGGTGGCAAAGATGAAGCAGCTTTCCTCTGCAACACAAGCAAGAGAGCCAAGCTCACTTTCAGGTCTCGTGCTTGCTGCTGGAGGTGGCAGTTCTCCCAGGTGTGGTGGGGTTACAACCCGCAAGTAGCAGCCTAGTGTGCCCCAAGTTCATCCTCAGCTCTTGCACACACCAGTGAGCGCACCATTCGGATGATAGCAATGCCTTGCTCTAACTAGTTCAGTTAGTCAATACTCAATTAATCTGAGCTTCTCCATGTCAGACAGAGGAAAGAGTAATAGCACAGTAATTAAATTTAAATGCCATGTCCCTAAAAGGTAATTAAGTAAGCTCAAAAGGCACAGGGAATGAAGGGATAAGAGCTGCCAAGTTACACCAGTTTTAACTGATTTAATTTTTTTCTCTTCAGTTTAAAGCATCAGACAGAGTGCCAAGAATCGTGATGGGAGGAAAAAATGAGATATTTCCTCTGTGACCTCAGACAGTCACTCTTACCAATAAAATTAAGATGATCCTATGCAACCTGGCAGAGAGCTGCAGGATTACATACATATTCTCAGTGTGTGTACAAAGGTACAGTGAAATGAGTCCCACCAGCACCTTTGGGAAACAGGTCTGTGGAAGGTGGGAAAGTCTGTGGA